AAAAAAAAAAGAATTTTCCATTTTTCCCATTAATTTTGGCCCCATTAAATTTTAAAAAAAATTTTTGGAATTAGGTTCACCCCCCCCCCCCCCCCAAAAAAAAAAAAAAAAAAAAAACTACAGGCTCTTGTTTTTAAAAGCTTCCTCCTAATAAAGTATAGATGCACTAGGTATACAGACCACTCTATGCTGTAAAGAGTACTCAAAGGCAGCACTATACCAGCTTTGGCTCACCACAGACATTAGCAATGCAAATTAATGTGGTGTCAATGCTCAGTCTAGACTGCAACTGCTGCTACACATGTGCACAATGCATGAAACCTCATTTGGACAGTATGGCCAATAGTCCCCCTCCGAATCCTTCACCTCACCTTGCCCCCCCCCCCCCCCAATCCCCCCAAGATAAATTTATCACTCTGTCACCCAATTCATTTTGGCACTCTGGACAAACAAGTTACAAACTTTTTAAGGTGTTGAAATGTTACCTGTCCAAGGCCTATGTGATTGTGCTGCAGTCATTGGCTGGGGTAGCGCTAGCACTTGCCAATTTAGCCGTAAAACTGACTTAAATTGGCTAAGCAAAATAGAGTTGATTTGATTTGTTTTAGTCAAATTTAAAGCACATGGAGAAAAAAGTGATGGAAAAACATAGTGATTTGGCTAAGCAAAAAATATTGCTAGCGCAACCCCAGCCTGGTACATAATTTCTTTGTTGCCAGGCAGTAGCATGTCAAGTAAATAAAAAGTACCATTCTTGTGCAAATAAGTAATACTTATAAATTCCTTGTATCAGCTCCTGAAGAACCGAATATCCTTATCTAGATCCTAACATCAATTTTATATAAAAAAAAAGTATGCAAATTCTTTTTTCTTTATTTGAAATAGCAATTTATTTATCAATTTTTCTATTGTAGAATATCTCTCCTTTCCATCAATTCTTTTTTTTTTTCTTTTTAGGCAAATCAATATCTTATGAATCAATTTTTATCAAAGATACCATTATTTTCATAAAAAACATGACACTTTTTCTTAGACATACAATCATTTTTTTTTCTTATGAGACTTTGCAATATTTTCATAAATGGCAGGCAAGAATGAAATACCTCAAAGTTGGCTACTAATAATTTGTACCAAAACTTAAAGGGATAATAACTCTTCGTATGAGATCTATTTTTCACAATAAAAACATTAGGAACAACTCATAGAAATATATATTCTGTTTTACCACAAAAACGGCAGTTATAGCTAATATTCTGATATCTGAGCTTGTCTTTAGTCCTCCATTGATGGCTATATCATAAGAGATTATAACAAAAAAAAAAAAAAAGAAAGTTATTAGAAAAAAAACAGGGACTAACTTTGAATGAAAAAATGGATTCATTAACCTTTGGTAAGTATGGGAAAATTGTTGTTTACTCCAGGAAAATTCTTTTTTTTTTTGCCAAAACGAAGAGTTATTATCCCTTTAACAGCCACAACTGACTCTTCAGTCTACACAAGTCTAAGCACCTATTAGTATGGTAACAGGACCAAAGCAGAAAAATTGACCATAAACTATTCAGAACTCTCCTCCCCCACCCATAGGGGCCATGATGGATACTTTGTGAGCTGTAAGCAAGGCTTTCCCCAGAGAGCCACCAGCCATCAATTGATGTCCATAAGGATCAAAAGATGGATAGAGGGCCTACAAAATTTTTGGGTTGTTAGATGGGCTTGCTTGGGTTTAGCCTGGCGTTTCCCCAGGATTTGGGGTACAAATTAAGAGAACTGCAATTTGACACATTTGCCAAACCTTTGTGTCAAAGTGCTAGTTAAAACAGTGATTGATATGAGCATATTTACCTCTTTTTATCTTTCTGGGGCTCACGTTAAGGAAAGTCTATGATGACAGGTTTCACTCTCCAACAATCAAAACTTACTAGACTTTTAAACCAATTTAAATTATAAATAGAAATTTGATAATTGAGAAAACTGCTGAATGTAAAAGTTATCTTTTGGTATTTATCAGTAAATTAGAAAAAATAATAAAAAATAAAAATAGCACTGAGGAAAAGCGATGAACAGTCCATGAGAAATCAATACTTACCACAGACTTATTACAAATCAATTTGTGTGACCGGCAAGTTGTATGCTAAATTGCTGCAACTTTCAAAACTTGTAAATCTCCAAAACTATATTCTCCACAATCCAAGAGCTCAAAAAATATATGTCTCAGTTATCAGCACATTTATATATCTTCTGGGCGGCTGCAAAAATCAGTGTCAGCAAAAAGTTTGTGCTGTGTCAGCTGCACACTGGATCTCGATTTGTTGTCTATGCACCAGGTGCTTGCCGGCGGAAGTCAAACTTGACCTCTTTCCGGAAGTAATATCCCTAAGCCTCAAATACCGAGTTTAGAGTTCTATATTAAATTGAAACACAGTTTTATTATCATAATAAGTGCATCCAAAGCCTTGTAAATGCGCAAAATTCGGTTAACGTGTCTGTCACAGTTACTTACCACAAGTTAAGCAGGTAATAAGGAAGTCACGCCACGATCTGACGATGACCTCGGGTGATGTGGATTTGACCTTGAGATTGACCTGAAAAAATTCTATAACGTTTTAAGTTCGGAAACCAATTGGCAATATAAGTACGATACTTTCTAATGAATTACAAATTTGTGTCAAAACTTTATTTGTTTATGAAAAAACCGCAAAAGTTTTAAAAATAAAATGTTCAAATTTGCCTTCCCGACATTCCGTTTTGCCGCTTCAAGTTCCCGGATTCTAACGTGAAGCAGTATGTCTGAGGTAACGAAAGAGAAATCTATCTATCCTGATTTGTAAATTACACACTCTTAAATCAACGTTTTCGATTATTCTTCATGGTGTAAAACTGGGTTTTGTCATTTTAAAATGTGTGTATCATGTCTTATTCAGGAGCAGCAGTTACAAAACAAGAGTGGCGACAGCCCCGGAGAAGGAGCCGGTGACAACAAAGACAAAGAAAAGGAATACATCAAGCTCAAAGTAGTGGGCCAGGTAGTTATTAAACGGCGCAAAGTGACCAATTGATTTAAGATGTACTAACATCGTAATTTGTGTATTTTAAAATACGAACATTTACGTGCGAATATTACACACGCCAACGCCATAGTATTGACCCATTTCCAGAACCATCTTATTTTGACCTCTTTCCTGGGACATGGTTAGGAAATTTGCGTGGAGGTCTTCACCACTCTAGAAACCTCTTATTCAAAAACTCCCATCATTTCCATGCCATATATAAAGCCTAGCCACGAATTATATTAACATAAGTTTGCTTCAGTGGTGAGAATTTACCCCTTCACCAACTGTACCTAGGTCCACTCCTGCACACATCATACTATGATATGGTATACAGCGCAAAACATTAGAAGTTACCACTATGGGCATGAGTCAACAAAGGAAACAATCATTCCAAAGACAATAGGGTGATGTTAAAGCAAAATATATAATATTCTATCTTATATATTGCTAGGTAATTGTATTGATGACAAAACTTTACAAATTGTTGCGATTCATTTATGAATTTTCAGGCTGACCGCCATATTGGAAGCTGGAGAAGGGTCTTTACTAGCAAATAGTGAAAGCTCTTCTGTCTTTCCAATATGGCGGACAACCCGGTTATATATATAAACTGCAAGTTGAAACAATTTGTAAAGTTTGGTTACCAGTGTCAATTACAAAGCATTATATTTCACTTTTATTTCACCGTATTTCCTTGCAAATGAATGTTTCCTGATTTTACTCACATACAAAGCCATGTTTTCAGGGTACTTTGCTGTATTATGCATTACAGTATGACTCCTCTTGAGCAGACACCAAAAACAATAAAAAATGAAAGAATGTTTGAAAAGGATGAGTGACTTTCCCTTATTACTTATAAATATGGTAAGATCTAGTAGCAGTTGGGTGATATGTGGGTCTATGCACAGAAATCTAAGCACACTGCTGGGGGGTGTCTGACCAAATAGCACACCAGAGGGGGTGTTAGGTTGTCACACCTATCACAACCTCATTCCCTGATGAAGTCTGACTGCAAGCAGACGAAATTTTGGCTGGTAAGACCAGACAATTATAAGTAGCTATAGACAAAAGAATCTTCACAAGTCTATTACAATAACATAGCCAATGAAACTGTTCTACACTAAGCACACTGCTGCTTGGTAATAAGGCAGTTGTGTGCCTGTCATTAGCAGCTTACACTGGTAGATCTCTGTAGAAGATGGAGAGGTGTTAAACTCAATTTATTGTAACAAACTGTAGAGACCCCTGTTGGAGAATTGTAAGGTGTGAATTTGATACAATTTTGCCGAGCACTGGAACAAATTAAGAGTTTTAACTGGTAATTTCACCCTAATTATTTTGGATTTTAAATTGGAGCACATATGGTAAGGTTCCATCATAAAAAATCCTTTCTGTGACAATATTGAGTGAGTTGCTATGCCGTTGGCTATGCCGTTAAGTGTTGGCTGAATTCCAAATCGCCATTTTTCCTAAATGTTGTTTTAATTTGACACCTGGTTTCTTTTTGATGGCCAGNGACTTTACGAAAGGCCAAAAAATCTGTCAGACATTCGGTCTGCCAAGCTTGAAAATTCTGTCAGACCGAAACAAAATCTGTCAGACCGAAGTAAAATAATAGAAATATGAACCATTATATATGTTTTCATGTGTATTTTCTAACGTTTTAAATAATTGACATTAAATCAAATATTAAATTTTTGATATATATTTATTTGGAAAAAAGTAAAATAAGAAAGAAAAAAAATAGACAAAAAATTACTTGCATAACAAGTTTTTTATTTAATGAAAAAGACATTGAGGAATGACACAAGGACTAAAACAATACAAGTATGAAGAATGTGTAGCTAGTAATATCAAATGTATGTCCATAAAAACGTCCGTTAATCAGATAACCATTTCACACGTTTTTGGCAATAACATATGCATTCTGAAACAGCACAGTAAGGCGGTCTCTTTCATCCAATTGAAGCTTTGACAGGGACTGTCCAGCCCGAGTCTAAGTCCCTTCTTCACTTTATTTCTTTTTTTATAAAAAGAAACTCAAACTGTGAGCTTTTCTCAAGTTCATGTGCACTTTCTCCAACTCGTGGTGAACGGTACATGCAAATATGTACATATGTTCCATAATTTAAGAACCCGTAATAAAACTGTAACATTTATGTTGCTATTGATTAAAATGATAACTTTAGTAATCCTGACACTTGGCTCACACTATTTTCCTCTCCTACAGATCATAAGTCCGCCAGGGCCTACCTTCTTTCCAATTTTAGTAAACTTCCGTTTCTCTTCCTCACTTCGTTTTCATTTTTGCCACGCTTTGCACCGACGAAGCGTTTAAAGTTCAACAAAGTCATTTTCTAAACAAAAGGCTTATCCATGAGTACAGTGTACGACTGATAATGAAGAAACAGAGGATCAAGTCTGTAAAAACGCAAATAGAACGAGCACGTGTTGCGGCCATTTTTTAGGGGTATTACAAAAACGAAAACGAGACTGTACATTACATCATCCAGGAATCCCCCAACCTCAGCCAGTCACAAAATAGTATTTGTGAGTGAAACTGAGGTTAATAAATTATGTATAATTAGCTGGAAACTCCCCGAGATTTTCACCCCGTCTCTCTTTTCGAATGAAGTAAAATATATCGTCCAGAAAAGAAACAACAACGCATTCCTTATATTTACACATTTCCAGTCAGTTTGAAAACTCGCCGGACATAAGGTCCGTCGACACAGGATTTTTTATCAGACCAAGACAAAATTTGCCAGGCATGTCCGACGGTCCGACGCCTTTCGTAAAGTCTGCTATTACAATAACATAGCCAATGAAACTGTTCTACACTAAGCACACTGCTGCTTGGTAATAAGGCAGTTGTGTGCCTGTCATTAGCAGCTTACACTGGTAGATCTATGTAGAAGATGGAGAGGTGTTAAACTCAATTTATTGTAACAAACTGTAGAGACCCCTGTTGGAGAATTGTAAGGTGTGAATTTGATACAATTTTGCCGAGCACTGGAACAAATTAAGAGTTTTAACTGGTAATTTCACCCTAATTATTTTGGATTTTAAATTCGAGCACATATGGTAAGGTTCCATCATAAAAAATCCTTTCTGTGACAATATTAAGTGAGTTGCTATGCCGTTGGCTATGCCGTTAAGTGTTGGCTGAATTCTTAATCACCATTTTTCCTAAATGTTGTTTTAACTTGACACCTGGTTTCTTTTTGATGGCCAGTTGTGTTACAATATACCTAGAAAATTAAGAATTTGAGTTTATAAACTGTAGTATTAATGTATATACTTTGAATAATATATTTGATATGATACATTGAATACACGGGTGACTATAAAAATATGCCCTCAGGTTGATTTATTACCACTGGCAGTAGCTTCAAGCTAAGTCAAGTGGTCATGCTTGTTAATTTGGTAGGGTGAATGTTCAGATTAATATTTTTATTACAAGATTAAAAACCTTGCATGATGAAAAATTTACATTTACAGAGCATCCTACATGAAGTGACAACAGTTGAGGCTTATTATTATACTAGAATCCAGTTTTAGGATTAAAGCCAAAATGTTATTGAAAGCATTTAAGACTTTCATCTTGTCAGCATTAATTTTGATGAACAAAAGTCAAAAAGAAACTGAGCAGATCTATTGGACTCTTGTATATATACAAATGGAAAGAATGATTACCCTTTTCTTTCTACTAATTTTTGCACCCAGAATTACTGTGACAGATTTTTCACAAACCAGCTGGGAAACCTCCCAGTGACCCTGGCACATTATAATGTAGATGGAATCCATAAATTAACATTTAAAACATTTAAATTGATTGCAGGTTTTTCCTGTCATAGAACAGTATGAGACATTTGTTTAAGCCAAATCATTTATTTAACAGATAAATTCTTTCTTGATAAAAGAAAAATGGCAATTATATAAGAGCATCTTCAGCATTTATTTGTCACTTTTCCCTTTTTGAACAGTTCAGTGCATGTTTTGGAATTCCATTTCAATTACTGATTTAACAAGACATATCTTAATTATTATTATTTTTTTAAAATATTTATATTTTTTACAAATGAAACCATTTTTACATCCTTGTCTCAGCATGGTACCGTTCATTTTCTTTCTCCAGGATGGCAGTGAAATCCACTTCAAGGTGAAGATGAATACACAGATGGGGAGGTTGAAGAAGTCTTACAGCGACAGACAAGTAAGGAACAGGCTTGTTATCTCATTTATAGTGTGATGTTTGTCTACTTAGAAATGATAATGTTGGGTCTGTGAAAATGTTTCAGACTTCAGGACCGTTTTAGTTCCTACTGTTTACTAAAAGATTTCTGTCCCATAATTTTTTGCCTTTGTTATAATATATATTTTTATACTTATTATTATTTTTAGACATTTTTTACTATTTGATAAATTTTTCATTTTAGGGTATTCCCTTAAATTCACTACGGTTTCTTTTCGATGGAAGAAGAATAAACGATGATGAGACGCCAAAACAGGTGGGTGGCTGGATTCACAAAAACTGTTCATAATTGACTTAATTTTAATGCTCAGTTTCAAAATTCTAGTAAAACGGGTTGTTTGTTAAATTAACTAAAAAATGTCCATCGCAATTGTATTATAAGCATTTTGTATGACATGAAAGTTGAAGTTTTATGTGGAGTACAAATTGTAAAATGAATTTGGAAAGTTTTCAATAAACAGACCCAGTTAAAGGTTTTGTTCAGTTATATCAGATGAACTATATATGCAATTCCTTTGTGATGTGTTGGAATGAGAAAAAAAAGGGGATGGCAAACATTCATATAAATGCACAGTCCAGCTCAGAGGGCGACTTAGGTGTGTGTGTGTGTGTGAGTGAGAGTGTGTGTGTGTGTGTGTGTTTTGATCAGTTTTGCCATAATGGCTTTGTATGTAACACTCCCTAGCTACTAAATCATTCCAGTTTGCTGATCCTGTGATTTATGTGGTCTGGGGACATTTTAAAACGGGCTATTTTGGAGTAAAAGCATGAAAATTGTCCAATTATGAAATATTTTTACTTATGTATTTGTAAGTTAACTATGTTTCAATTTTTTATTTATTGTGGAATTTTTTGTGGGTTGTGGGATTTCTCAGATTGAGTTTGTTTTCATTCCAGCTTGAAATGGATGACAGTGATTGTATAGAGGTATATCAAGAACAGACAGGTGGATTAAATTAAAGGTAAGAAAAGCAAAGAAACTTCAAGGAGATTTCTTGACAATATTTCAGTTTATGTGTAGTGCAGAATTACTCCAAAGGTGAATCTTTTTACCCTCAACCTGCCTCAGGCTCCACTCGTGGTTGGAATTCCTTTTTGAATAACAAATTTTCAGTACTAAAAGTGTAAGGGTTTCTTTCACTGTCTGGTTATTATGCAGTTTTCTTGAACGTTCACAAATTGTTGTAGTCTGATTTAAAACAGCATGAAAACCTATTAGAGCCCTACTTCGTGACTGTTCCTTTGTTGCAGTACTGGCATTAACGCTGCATTAGTAAAAAGGATCTACCTATGTCATTACACATTTTCTGCCAAAATAATATTTATTCCAGTGACATAATAAAGATGCCTTGATTCTTTAACTTGATGATAATGATAGATACAGAATATCAAATTCTCTAACTGCATTTCATTTTTGTTTATTTCATGAAATCAGGAGCCGTCTGGATGGAAAAAAGAACAATAAGACAATTGGATCCTTGTGCATCCGTCAGTAAATAATAGACAAAGTGTCGTACATGGATAAATATTGTACATAGGCATATATATCATATTATTGCTCCATGTTCAGTAGATATATATATATCTTCAAAAGCACATCACGGTGACCAGATTGAAGGTAATCATTAAAGATGGGACAGATGGAGCAAGTCACAGTGAAGTGATGGGAGAAAGAAATGTATATATGGACACAGCAGATGGCGAATTGCAAGGGAGAGGTTACTTTAAGGGAAAAGGAAGGACCCCATGCAAGTGTTAATTTTTAAACAGGACTGGATTTGTTTTTTTTTTTTTTTTTTTTGTAGATTTGTAACATGGGATGGAACAGCTTTTTTCATAACTCAATGAACTACATTTAAAAATAAAAAGGTAAAAATCAACAGAAATGATAACTGTACAGCGAAAACGAACAGCAGTAATTGAAAATCAACACTGTGTGAATTGAGAAATGGACACCCAGTGGATTTCTCCTTAAGCTGCAGCTCATAACATTTCCAAATTTGAAGCCAGAGAACTGGCGGCTGCAACATTTGGATGAGCATGTACATTGCAGTTGTGCCATTATACTGTTTGTAATGTTTTAGAGAGAAAAACTGTCTACAGACTGCGTTACAAGAGAATTCATTTTCTGAGCATGAATTTGTCAATTAAGATTAATGTAAATTTTTTTACTTCAAGCTCTGTCAAACCCATCTTTACATTAACAGGCCTCCACTGTGAGTGTATTAAGGCATTAATGAAATTTAATCAGTGTTGGTGCACGAACACACCCAGATTGTACTAAAAAATATCATGACCCACCCCAATTTGTATTGAGAGCTGCATTATGGTCACATCTGTATGTGCAGCTCAGCCTTAAATGGTGAGACGGTCTTATGAATATAATTTCAGCAGCAGTCTGTTTGTAAATGGACACTTTTTCAATAGTTGATGATGGATAGATTTCCATGATATGGACTCTCAATGGTTATGAGAAAAGAAGGGCACTTGTTGCAGAGAAACGATGTTGAAGTCGTGAATTTTCATTGATATTGTATGGCTGCAGAATTGATTTGTTGTTGCCGAAACCCCTTATAGGAAGTCTAGACACAAATCTTGTTGAGTGAAAACACCTCCCTCATACAATTTGAGTTGAACATCCTGTACTCTCGTAGTGGGGACTTGAGAATCTTGAACAACTTAATGTCTCTTATTTGTAGTTTTAGGAAATTTTCCTTTTCTTTTAGTTTGAGAAAGGCAGGGTTTTAGAACAGGACCACAAGGAAAAAGAAAGAAATATGTTTGAAAACGTTATGGCAGACACTTTTAATAAGTTACATGGGGGAGGCAGATAACACTTTAAGTTCAAATTTCCTCACAAAATGTAAGAATTAAATCAGTTGTAAGGAGATTATTCATTTCCACGGAATAAAAGAATTTATGCTTTACCAAAGTCAATAAATGTAGTTTACGAAAAGGACAATTTTAAGATCCTAAAATTGTATAGACGTTGTAATTTCTTTTATCAATAAACATATTAGCCATATACAGTTGATTTGTGTGTCTTTATTCTATAAATGAATATAGGACTAGAAGTCTCAATTTTTTTCTTCCATACAATAGGATGAATATGTGTGCATTGTTTAAATTGCTACTGACAGTAAAAAAAGGAATGCTAATTTTAAAGAGAAGACGGCAGTGAGTGTCGTTGTCTGAATCACTGAACAATCACCTGTGCACAGAACGATTGCACGATTCTATTAATTAATGTTTAACGTTGGCAATTCTAACAGAAAGGGTACGTCAGGTTAAGGGGGGGCGTTGGTTTTGGGAGCGACAGGAATCTTACACTCCAAATATTGTAAAAAAGAGAAAAGAACAGCAATAATGAAAGGACTTTATGATTTGAGCGGAACCTGGGATGCCATTGTATCTTAATAATTGATGAAAACACTTCTGAAGTTGTGCCTCGTCACGATGTTGGTCTTGTCTTGATCGGAAGCAGGTGCTTTCGGTAGCACTGCATTCTGGGAATGTAAGGAGCCATATTTGTTATTGATCGTGGGAGGCAAACAGAAGTAGAAATGCAAAATTAGGCGGCGTTGCGTCGTATCTCTTTTAGCAAGGCGACATAAGTCGGTTCATCGCCAAGAAATTTTATTGAAACCGCCTTGTAGGCGTAGATTTTGTAAGTATGGCGAGTGCAGCCGGACCAAAGAGCAACAAGAAAAAGCGGCTGTTCATTAAACAGAAGAGGAAATTATTTCGAGCCAATGAACCGCTGCTCAGTGTTTTCATGTGGGGAGTCAACCATTCGGTAAGTTTTGTCTCTCCTGTCTGGAATTGTTAGACACCGATGCATTGCAAATGTGATCTGATGTTGAACGGCATTATGCGATTAAACCGGCTACCGGCTTCTGAATTTCGGCGCCCGATTTTTATCTCATGTACATCTACTTATTGGTTTGCAAAAGTCGGCATCGAGGGATTATTATCACGCAAAGAATTCAATTTCAATCTCAAAAAAAAAAAAAAAAAAAAAAATATATATATATATATATATATATATATATATATATATATATATATATATATATAACAATAATAATAATAATAATAAATAAATAAATAACATTATCATACACCATTATATCAGTTTCTGTGGCTACTACTAACCCTGGCGGCTTTACTCCTCCCCCTAAATTCTCTGTACATTTCAGTGTGAAAATAGTGTTATCAGTGATCAGCATCTTTTCTTGTCAAGTGAAATGGATTTAAACTTAATAGTTTCACGATTTGCTCATTATGATTTGAAAAATGAATGGAAATTATCTGAGATAGGCCAGAGTCTTGCGCATGCAGCATTTAAAATCAAGCAATTATTTTTACAAAATTTGGAGGAGAGTAGGGTCAGAAATGACCAAAACGAGCTAATAAGCATGGCGCATCAGACAGGACAAGTCAGACAGATAATCTGTTGTATAACGGTAAAGATTTACCATGTTTTGTTTATCACATTCAGAATTGCTTTTCAAGTTGACAACTTCCTGCAGAATTTTTCTGGTGTTTTATGATATCATGTCGTGTCCAATGACTTGTTATTTTCAGATGATTTTTAGATGATTCCCACTGAATGACTACATTACGAGCAATATGCTGTTATAAATCAGTAATGAAACATTTTAGTTCTTCTTTTGATAATTGCTCAAACTTCACTAGATTACTTATTATATACTATACCCTTAGGGTTTATTCTATTGAAATGCACATTGATTCAGATGAAAGGTACTTTTGAAATATATTGCTATAAGAAATGTATGCACTTTATTGCAAATCCTTCCTCCGGCATGTATTTTGTGATACCCCTCACGCAAAATGTGATGATGTGTGAGATGTGATTAAATTGTCTTGTTTTGAACAAAGCGAGGTGTTAATTTGATACCCAACAACTAACGCTTTATGATATTGCCTTAGTTGTCATAAAGGCAGTATCATTTCAATGCTTACACTCAGAGTCACTATTAAAATTTGGCAGAAATGCAGCACATCCCATTTATAACTTAATATTCAAGAATGTTTTCTAATTGGCCTGTTTTTTTCCCTGGAGATTTTGAATCCAAGAGCAATGCCGGAATGAAATCATCTGAAGTCACTTTACCTATGAGCCATTCTACCAGCCCATTCAGAACAGCAGACTAAGACCGCATTCACACCGAGTTGAGCCATGGATCTACAAAGTCACGGACTAAACATGGCGGACGTACATGAAAGAAAAACCGCCTAATCTTTTAATAGTCTCTCTGCCTCTCACGGGCCTCCCCATGCATCGTCCCTGCGGGGTTACAGTCATTAAATCTTGGCTCCATTAGGACGACACATGAGGAGGCGTGTGAGAGGCAGGGAGACTATTAAAAGATTAAAGGGATAATAACTCTTCGTATGAGATCTATATTTCACAATAAAAACATTGTGAGCAACTCGTAGAAATATAATATATTCTGTTTTACCACAAAAACAGCAGTTACAGCTGTTATTCTGATATCTGAGCTTGTCTTCAGACCACGTGACCTCCATTGATAGCTATACTCTGTTATAATCTCTTAAGAGATTTTAACAAAAAACCAAACTGTTTAGAAAAAACCAGGGACTAACTTTGAATGTAAAAATAGATTCATTAACCATTGGTAAGTATGGAAAAATTGTTGTTTACTCCAGGAAAATTCATTTTTTGGCCAAAACAAAGAGTTATTATCCCTTTAAGCGTTTTTCCTTTCATGTACATCCGCCATATTTAGTTTGTTGGCTTTGTAGATACATGGCTCAACTCGATGTGAATGTGGTCTAACAGAACCATGGATCAAATATGGCCAACCCACTTAAAGCTTGTTGCTTAATTCCCAATTCGACAATGAACAGATTCCCCGCAGGGATGAAGCAACAAGCATTCAAGTGGGTCATCCATACTAGTATTTGATCTGCAGATCTGTTAGTCCACCGTTCTGTTGCTTTAACAGTGTGAACTCACATGAACACAGCTTGTGAGTCATATGAAGATTTGACGTCTCATTTCTCTCCTGCAGTTCAGGCATGTTTCCAATGTTACAGCGTCTGACAAATCAATTGATTCTAGGAGTAATCTCACCTCCAATGACACCTAGTACCAAGGGCAGACTTACATTGCCCTTTGTAAAATAGTCAAAATTTAAGTGTTAACTTAAAACCATTATGTTTTGCATAAAGTACCTCTTTTGTTATTGACTGTATTATTGTATTTATTTTTAAAGTTAAATTTATGGTGTTATTTAAAATGATATGTAAAAAATAGCATATGCACCAGAAAAATATTCTTGTGATTTGTTTGCTTTTGACTCTCTCTGCACGATGTAATGCAATGCTAGGTGGCTTTCCACTGGCTTGTGATGTTCTGATTCACATTATAAATATGATTACATTTCCTTTTACTCAATTTCTGCTTGATTAATGGATGAATACATAAAGTGTTATTGTTAAAATGATATCAATGTTATGGTCCATGTAATTATCATTAGGACCATTTCATGAAATTATCTACTATTGTATGTACTTTAATTAGCCTCTTGTATCAAGATAAAGTGAAGAAGAGCAATTAATTTTTTTATTCACTTCCTGCTTATCATATGATCTAAATTGAGTTGTAGTTGCTACTAATTTGTTTTCATCTGAATTGACATGGTGCTTGCTTGCTTCCAACCCTGAAGGAGTCAGTATTATGGTAATGACACAGAAAGTCTGTGGTGTCAGCATAATTTATTAGGTAAAATTTTGAACATTGCAACTGCTATAATTGTAAACAATTATTGCTAAATTGATAAAAGAGCAAAAATTTCACACTGCCACTAAAATTGATCTGTTGGAATAATCTGGTCATATTCAACGAGTTACATCAACAGAAAAAACGTAGTGTAGAATAAGTCTCTGACTTGGCTGGCAATAACTGATTCAGATCCCCAGGGATGACATTGTCAAGTAATTTTCTTATAAGATTGTACAGTGTTGATTTATTTGTGGGAATAGAAATAATGATGCCTACATTTGAAAATTAGTTACCATTTACAGTTATTGTTAATTTTTATCGTTGTCACTGGGGGCTTTGGTTCAAAATCAGTCCCAGGCAAAGGATGCAGTGCTTTACTTTGATTTGATTCTTACACTTTTTCTGCTGAGCATTTTTTTTTTCTTGAAACAGTAAAATGTGGTTGAAAGGTGTAACAGCTAACATTAGTGTCTTCAATACACATCAGAACCCACTGAAAAAAAATTGGGATTATTTCTAAATGTTGGGGATAGTTGCAATAAAGATATTCTATACAGTGGTGGATTTTCATGCCAAGCCCCTTTTTTTTTGGGGGGGGGGGGATCTCAGCAGAATCTCAGAATATAGATCTCCAGACACGGCCTCATTTAAATAAAGAATGAACCAAAATGGGGTTAATGCAGAACTAGGATAAATAACCAAATGTATCCCCAGTAAATGAACATTTCATTCACATTTAAATTAACTACTAGTAGCCACCTAGTAACTTGCTTGACTTAGCTGATTTGGTTTGGCAGACTGCAGTTTTTTTTTTCCAGTTTTAAAGTATGCAAGGTGGGATCACTATACATGAAGGTGTCATTAGGGTCATTCACATTCATTTATTTCGACCACGATTAAGGCCTGATTTCAGTCCTATCCAAAATTTTAATGCATTTTTCTTATGGAAATAATTCTTGATACAAGTAAAATTTAAGACTTTTTGTACAGCATTGCTTCTTGAACTCCCACCATGATGTTCATAAAAATACTTTCCAATGAGAACTATGGTGTACATTTTTAACAGGAAGTATGATTGTTCAAAGGCTATAGCTGCTGGTATCAGTGTGAATGCAAAAAGTGGCTTTGCTGCAAATGGCAGTTCTGTCAGGGCTAACTGGACCGCTGTTTACTGGCTAGTGTAAATGGCCCTGAAAACTTCCTCTTGACAGACTCCTTGAATGTAAACCCTGATTAATCTCAGCATAAGTTTTAGTGATTTGCTGGAATGTTTATTAAAATGTATTACTAGTAAACATTTTACTAAGGCATGAAAACTAGCCATTAAAAAGTGACAGAGTTTTTTTTTTGCAACTTGTCTCTGGGAACACCTTTATTTTAAGACTTAATAGTCATCTGGATGTCACTCGGTGTAAGGTGTGCAAACAGCTTTACTTGAGTGATTTATAATGATGGTAAATGTGCCTCGCACCAGTGAAAACTTACAGAGTTAATGGAGCTTTCCTGTACTAATATTTTGACATTGAAAAACGTGTAACAGCAGAGTATATTTTAATTTTTTTTTCCTCTTTTCAACAGCTTTTCTTACCAGTTAAGTTACAGCTAGGGTCAAAAAGTTTCAAAGCCCAGTTCTATGTTTATTGCATAGGATTTTTCATATCCTGCGACGGTGTATGAAAATACTTAACAGAGACAATTTGACGGCCTGGCTATTACAGAACAGAGTGAACAATATTGGGGGTGGGGGGGGGGCTTATTCTCAATCCACTTGACTGTGAAAGGGACAAAACAGATGTTACACATAACGCAATTGCATGTTAGACCCATTAAATATTTTCTAATTGAATGTTATGATTCGTCCATCTGTGTAATGCAAAATTGGATGTGGGTCTCATCCCACACAAATTGTCAACACTTGACACCAGTGACCAGTGAGAGTTAAGTTCACCTGAGGACAGGGCTTTTCCCAGCAAACCACCCAGCCATCATTTCATTGACCACCGACATCATCGGATAGACAATATATATCTTCAAAAACAGCAGGACAGCTTCTGTGTTTTTTTTTTTTTTTTTTTTTTTTTTTTTTTTTTTTTTTTTTTTTTTTGAAAAATGATGGCTCGGACTCCCAGAAATTTTGAAGGAAATTACAGGTGATAATTTTGGACAGTCTGTACTCCCAATCCTTGGAAAAGCCCTGCCATAGGAAGACTTGTGAGAAGGTTTTATTAAGATTTAATATCAGATTCAATTTTTCATAATTTCATTAAATGTTTTGGTATCATAATGTGCAATAGACAATTTGAAAATTGGTTAGTGGTCAGTGCAACAAATGGCCCTTGCAATCAGTGACTGGTGCTGGGCCTCATTTTAAGAGGACTCGTACTAAAAGTTACTAAAAGTGTCATAACACTTGTGTTTTGCAGCATTTCTAGGTTCATTGATGTATGCTGTTACAGTCTGTTATCATTTGCATGTTTAACATGAGCTTTATGGAACATTGTTTTTTTTTTTTTTTACTGAATTTCTGTTTGGCTCTTGATTTGCTGTTTGAGGGAGGAAAAATATGATTGAAGCAGGATATGTTATGCTACTGTAGACAAGAAACAAGTTTTTTTTTCTGCTGTCAGTTCAGGATGTCATTTATCTTAATTTGGCATCTCTCTCTCTCTCTCTCTCTGTTTTTCCTTGAGGGTTATCTGGTTATAAAGGATTATAAAATTTTTAAAAGGCAAGAATTTGAAATCCTGGGATAAGTTCCTTTTTGCAACACAACAAACCTGGAAACATTGAAACAAACACTATATAACATCGGCTGGTCTTATATTTTTCAGATCAACGAGCTTGGTCATGTGAACATCCCCGTCATGTTGATGCCTGATGACTTCAAGGCCTTCAGCAAGGTCAAGGTTGCTAACCATTTGTTTAACAAGTAAGTAAACAACAACAAAAACAAAGAAAAACGGTGGGTGGTTCTTAAAACAGTCTAGATTGTTAACCAGTGGTGGCTGAAGTAAAACCAAGTTATTAACAACAGACCACTAAAATTCTCTGTGTTCCTTTACTGGCCATCGTGTCTGCTTTTGCTGTTGCTTAATGGATTCATACAACCTGGTGCCCTGAAGAGCAAGTACATTGAAAGCAATTTGGGCTAAGTCTTTTCTAAAGACTGCAGTATAGTCAACTCTGATCTGTGTGTGAGTTTGCTGGTTGCAAGCAGTTTTTGCTTAATAAAGTATGAGGGTTGCCTGTGCATACATGGGTGCACGAATATAGTGATTTTGTTCAATGCTAATAAATTCTATACCTACTGGTGTCAGTTCAGAAATCCTCCAGGAATTGGAGAATTTATTTATTTACATACCCATGGCATGTTGTAGATGAGTCTCTAACACTGCTGTAACAGAGGAGATCATAGCAGGTGCTTGGGGAAAATGTGGGGAAGCCTGGAGGGCTACTGCTGGGTAATTTGTTATTTGTGAGTCATGAAATCATGAAAGAGGTTAATTTTCATACCTTGTACATACAGGATTGGATAGGTTTGATAGAAGTGTCTTTTGGGAGTACTCCAAGGCCTTTTTTCTCACTTTTTTTAACCAGGAAGTTGTTAAATATTTACTGCGAAATCCTCATTGGATCAATTTGAGATATAGGAAGAAAAAGACAAATTTCAAACGAGTTATGTGTTCTTTAATCTAAACAGATACGTTACGTATGTTTTTTTTTATAATCATGTGATGACATTGCGTGATGAATTGAAGTTTGGTAAAATTCAGTTGTGTGTCATGTCAATTAGTAAAATGGAATTTTTCTGTCATCAGGGGGCAAAGTACAGCTGGGGTGACTGCACGAAACAAGAAAAAAAAACACGTCATAAAGACATATGAAACATACTGTTGTTTTACTTTACTCCATTAAATGAGTTGAGATACCCATAAGATTTATTTAACTTGCGTTTCCATGAACTTTTTATTATTTCATTCATTAATTATTTCATTCAAAGCTTTGAATATGAGAAACTGCTTCTTAAAAATGTTACAGTGGTTTAAAAAATAGAGTAATCTTCAAAAGCATTTAATTACAAGTTAAGGCCTTCTTTGTTATAGGAAGTAATTTTTGTGCTCAACATTTTATTATATAATAAATTCAAGGTAGAGGAAAGAAAGATTTTTCTCTTTTAGATTCTTATTTGAAGCAAATTGCAATCTCAGTTGCATAAGTTGCAGCAAGGTGTGCTTATGCAATTCGTATTACGAAACCTTTCTATTGTTTTCTTGGTTCACTTTGACATTGACAGTGATATTGACATTTATGGCTTTCAGCAAAATAACATTTTAAAGCCTGAGGTTGCTGGCATTTCCCTTTTGTGGTGTCTTATTTTCCTTTTTTCTCTTCTTAAAAAACTATATTCCTACTAGTATATCATTTCACCTACAGTATAGGGTTTTAGAGGAGAATAACAGGAAATAAGACTACTCAAAATTGATATATATTTTTATTGCTTTTCAACTAGTTCAAAGAACTGAGGAAATTAACACAAGGTGGTCGATAAAGATGGTTAACCACAATTAAACTTGGAAAGTATTGTGTGCTTAATTCATCTTCACAGTGAATCTCAGCTAACAGTTTTCTGGTGCACAAATTTTTTTTTTTTTAATCTGACTGAGAAAAACAGGATATTTTCTGTTGTGATTTAGGACATTCTTTAGGATGTTTGTGCATAGAAAAATATGTGAGAATGAAGAATACAGTTTGGTGCTAGTAATGGGATATCTGAATGAAATAAAATGTGACTGAGAAAGTAGTAATGAGAGGGGCATGATATGGAGCATGCTTTAGTATTTATGGAAATAGAAAATAAAATATCTCTATGAAAAATTTTACAATATCTCTTACAAAAAATGACAATTTTTTTGTTTCATGACAGAGTCCATCATTTCTACATGTACTTCCAGAGAAAACATGCCCAGTCATTTCAAAGTCAAAGAATACTGCCCCCTCGTGTTCAGAAACTTACGGGAACGCTTCGGTGTGGACGACATCGACTACATGAACTCCCTGACCCGTGCCCAACCAGAGGACCAACCCTCGTCTGCCAGGACTGGGGCGAGATTTCTCAAATCCCATGATGACCTCTACGTAATTAAAACCTTAGTCAGTGAGGAAGTGGAACAAATGCATCATATTCTTAAAATGTATCACCAGGTTGGTAATTCTGGCATTTGTCATCTCTGTTAGCGCATTCAGAACAACAGGCTAACAGATCCACGGATCAAATATGGCCGACCAACTTGAATGCTTGTGGCTCAATCCCTGCAGGGAATCTAATCCAAATTCAACTCTGTCTCTGTTTAAAGCTTAACCGCTTAATTTTTTACCCTTTGGCCTAATAAGTTTATCCACTGCACTTGATTTTCAGGATTTAAAAAAAAAAGCTTCACTCCCATCCCATATTACCAGACTAAGTATTACATTAACAGTGTACTTGTGACATTTTCCTACTGATATATTTTCTTATTTTTAGTTCATAGTTGAGCGCCATGCCAAGACACTCCTCCCCCAGTACCTGGGAATGTACCGCGTGACGGTGAACGACACAGAAACCTACCTGGTGGTTATGAGGAATATATTCAGCCCCAGGTTGACAATACATAAGAAATATGATTTAAAGGTAAGGGCGTATCAGGTTGGATGCCACTGTGAAACATTGAGCTGTGTTGCTTTGAACTGTGCTGCACAATATCATGTTCAATGTTGTGAAATTAAGGTCTTTTTTTCACATTGAGCATTTTTATCTAACTTGGCATTCCATCAGTAGTTTTGTTTTCAGAAATTGACAGCTCAGTTGTGTTATACTGTAGCTGCTTACATCAAGCTTAGCTTGATAGAGATAAAATATTCTTGATTTATCTAGAAAATGTGTTGTATTAACTACCCCTGACCACTATATAGAACTGGGCCTGTTGGGTCCTTGCATTTTCAGGAACCTTTTAAAAAGGTCTGCTGTAATCTCCAAATTTACTACATCAATCCACAGAGAAGGATCAACCTGTCTTCATTGCATACATGCCTCAAAAATTGATGCACTTGTAACAAAAGATCTGCATTAATAATATTTCATGACATATTCACGAACCCATATATGCAGCAGTAAGTCACACTCCATTAGTAATGACATGTACAGTGGCAGCTGTTCAGGTGATCTCTTAAGAAAGGTTTCTCCCCATCATAACCCGTTGTCACACCATCGCCAGGCACATGTTGTTGTTTTAGCATTATCTCACCTGATATTACAGCTGGGCGGCAACAGATCTGATGAAAGGGTTTTATCCCTTTTTTTCAGTTCATTATTATTGGTTATGCCGGTTTTTGTTAGTTGGAAAAAAAGTTGAGGGGTATTTAGGTAGAAGATGGTCAGGTTAAACTGAAATTTACATACAGCTATATTGAAGATTTTTACTGGAAATTACATTTCTGCCTTTCTGGAATCTTGTTGACAATTTTGTTTAGGTTTCCTACATAGACTTGATTACAACTAAAGCTGTTAACATGCATCGAAATCTTAACCAAAAAAAAAACAAAAAACGCCCCAAAAACTTAATAAAGCATTTATCGCCATGGTCACATAACATCTCTTGATATGTAAACTGTCTTGATTATTTAGAAGAGGGCCCTTAAATAGATAGAAAATGTCACATTTGAGTTGATCTAATGCTTATTTCATGAGATAAATGGTTTTTCTTCCAGGGCTCAACTGTAGATAGACAGGCTAGTGACAAAGAAAAGGTGAAAAAACGCTTAGAAAAAAAATGAATTTCAGTGGTCTCACAAAGTAACTGATATTCATATAATAAGATTATAATGCAATGTGTTCAGTTCTTCATTTTGGTAAAACAATTCAAGATTTTAAATTCATTTAGTAAAGTACATTAACAAATTCCATATGGTTACTTGGGCAATTATTTAATTTGATAGATGTTAGAATAATTGTGATTTTAGATTGAAGTTTGCATCTTTNGAAGAGGGCCCTTAAATAGATAGAAAATGTCACATTTGAGTTGATCTAATGCTTATTTCATGAGATAAATGGTTTTTCTTCCAGGGCTCAACTGTAGATAGACAGGCTAGTGACAAAGAAAAGGTGAAAAAACGCTTAGAAAAAAAATGAATTTCAGTGGTCTCACAAAGTAACTGATATTCATATAATAAGATTATAATGCAATGTGTTCAGTTCTTCATTTTGGTAAAACAATTCAAGATTTTAGATTGATTTAGTAAAGTACATTAACAAATTCCATATGGTTACTTGGGCAATTATTTAATTTGATAGATGTTAGAATAATTGTGATTTTAGATTGAAGTTTGCATCTTTTTATTGAATACCAAAACAGAGGCATTATTATTATTATTATTATTATTATTATTATTATTATTATTATTATTATTATTATTCCTTTTCTCACAGGCCAAAGAGCTTCCCACATTTAAAGACAATGATTTTGTGAGTGACGGCATTAGGATAGATATTGGAGAAGAAGCCAAAGAGAACTTAATGGAAACGCTCAAGGCTGACACAGAGGTGAGGAGGTGGAGGACAGAGTATCTAATTACTATGAATGGCATGCAAATATATGCAAAACCCCATTGCCATAGGCTCACCATTGGTCTAGAACATAGACCAACCCATCTGTGCAGGAACCCTCGTGAAATGCAATCGGCTTAACTGAGTGACAGGCCTCTTCTTGCTTTCAGTGCAACGTATTATCACCAGATATGTGTATTCTCCTTAATGCCAGGAGGCGGCGTGTAAATCTGTTAAGCTGATTGCACTCAGTGAGAATCTCTGCAGAGTTAGGTTGATCTACGTAGACAGTGGTATCTAATGGGGCCGCGTGTTTACTAACAAAGTTGGTATTTCAATTGTTGCATATGCATATCTATGTTTAAAACAAATTTGTATGTATATATTGTGCTAGTGTGAAAAATAAAAGAAAATATTATGATGAAAGGCCAGACTTTGCAAATTGATGGGTTTTGTCACCCACCAGAGTCAAACATATCAATATTTCATTTAACTGTTTTCTTTTTTTCTTTCGATTGACCCATTTTTCATTGATTTATATGTCTGATCCATTCCTTTTTTTTCTAATGGATCATTTTACCAGAACTACACCAAAAATGATAAAGAATTATTTCTTTTTCTCCCTCTTGTTTCCAGTTTCTTTGCAGCCTCAATATAATGGACTACAGTCTCCTAGTTGGCATACACGATGTGGAAAGAGGCGAGCAAGAGAGGATCAATCAGCGCGAGGAAGAACTTGAGGATGGCGTCGAAGAAATGGAAGGGAGCGACGACTCCGCAGGAAAGCCTGGATACAGGAAGCACATCCCAAGTGAAGATCTGGCGCCTACGCCACCTGACAGTCCCACAATGCACTGCATGCCATTTTTGCCATTTGAAGATATTGATCCTAATATTGAACATTATGCCATGAAAAGTAGTGCTAGTAAGTGATGGCAGTGGCTGAAGGAGAGAATTATATGTTGTTTTGTGTGACTTAAAAGTAATAGGAATTGTAAGGTGTTTTACGTGAGGTGAAACATTGGGTGAAAAAAATAGTAATAAATGTATGTTTTAAAATTAAAGTAATTGACAGCAATGTGGAATATGCTAAGGGCTTATAGCTATTTTTTGTTTGTTTTTTAAAAATCATGAAATGTGTCTGTGTATGGTAATTATCAAATCCTGATCCAAACTCTTACTAAGGTTGTCTCACCGAACCCTAAGACTTTCCCTGAAAAAAATATAATAAATATTATATGAATCAATGTCGGCAATATTTATAATTCTCAAACTTACAAGAAAGGCTCTTACTCAAACAAAACTAAAACTGTAGAGCGAAAAAAAAAGGCTGACCGGTTTAATTTTTTTCACATCTTCGCATTTTTTCACCTTCTAGGTTCACCACATAAAGAAATCTACTTCATGGGAATGGTGGACGTGCTCACTCATTACGGCGTAAAGAAACGCACGGCACAGGCAGCCAAGAATTTACGCTACGGTGCTGAGGCCGAAATATCAACAGTAAAACCAGAACAATATGCACGTAGGTTTTTAGAATTCATCCAAAAGAGCATGCAGTAGGAAGGAACAGGCAGGAGGAGCCTTCTAACTTTCAGAAAAAATCAGATCGAGAAATCGGCCATTGGGAATTCTTTCTCGTCGCATCATCTGCGCTCTTATTAATTAACCTCATTAATCTGGTCAGTCATTTTATGCATGTACATTAATTCTATACTCATGATTCATGTATGTTAATGTGTACTTGGTTGTATGCATGAACAGTACAAAATATATCAAACTACAAAAGGCAGGGGACAATTTCACTAAAGGACTTTAGTCTAACAATTGGTCTAAATTTTAGTCCGGCAATTGGTCTAAACTTCTATGTCAAAATTTTGATTTATTTTAGTTCGTGATGACCCATAAGTATTTGGTATAGATTATATTGATCTGAAACAGGAAACCTTTTACGTTGTAACACCATTTGTTGCAATATATAATTTTAAAATTTTGTACAGGCTAAAATTGCGGCCTTAAACTTTAGACCAACTTTGTGGCTTAAGTTTATCTGTGAAGCAGGGCACTGGAGTAAGGACTTGTTGCAGTTGTGTCTTTTTGTCTTACACCAAGGCTGCAAACCAAACATCAGTCAGTGTTTTGGCTAACTGTAGCTGCCATCAAGTGTAATATATGTGTACATTGCTGCTTGAACACATTTAGGATGTATTCTTACGTATATATTGTGTAGGGAAGTTTGGTTATCACACTGTCAATGTGGACAAGGTGAAAATGTCTTCCTGGTTCCAATTAGAAAGGTATTCTCCATCAAGAAACCGCTTTTCTGAAAATGGTTAGGACATAAAGCCGGATAAGAAATGCAAATGGAAGTCTTCTAAGTTTTGATAAGGTAAAAAAAAAAAACTAAGACAGGTAACATTAATTCTTTTGAAGAGCATTATTATTATTATTATTATTATTATTATTACAAAGGCGAATTTTCCTGAGGGCAGTAAATTAGGTGTAAAAATAGGGGGAAGAGAGGTGGGGGGGAGGAGAATTAATGTTTCAAGGAAAGAAGAGTTTCTGGTCAAGCAAAGGCATAATATTGTTTGTGGATACAATATTTGATGTAGTAATAAATTGGGAGATTTGGTGTTTGTTATTAACTCTATTGTTCATGGGATAAAAAGACATAATGGTTCATGTCAACTGAGGCACGTAATCCTTTGCATGCATCCACACAGCTATGGTAGCCAGAAAATGGGTTGATATTGTGTTATGAAATCATTTATTAAGCCCCCTTTACACTGGACAGGATCCTTTCTGCGTCCCATAGTACGACCCGCTTAAGAGTAAAAAATAATAATACTTTACATACTGACAACTGGCTGATCATTGAGCATCCATTTTGCAAGCAAAGAGATGCTTAAGGTTCCTTTCTACAACCGCAGTGATGCCAGTTTCATCATCGCACAAAGGACGCAGAAAGGACTCAGTCCAGTGTAAACGGGATTTTATAAAGGTGAAGAAATGTTACTGTGCGCACGTCATGGAAAATTTGTCAGAGAGATGAGTAGAGGATATAGTTCAACACTTATGAAGCCAACATGTAAGTCTACTTTATGAGCCAAATAGTCCACTGTAGTAGATAGGTGTTAACTCCTATTATATTGTATTGTAGAACAGCTTTATAAGGCATGATTGTTTCATAATTCTTTGGGAAATTTTTGAAATTAAATGGCGTATGCTGCTGTTGTTGGTAAAAAGTATGTTGCCGTATTTTAGTCTTGGTTGATACTCGTAGTTGCAACCTTGATTCATTCAGTTATTTGTGTTCATCTTTATGTTTTATCTACCTTCCTGAGCTAAAGTGAAAATCAATATCTTGTTCAGTTCTGACCTAGAAAAAAAAAAAGCTATCCTTGTAATTCACTCCATTCATGTTACACGTGAAAGTATTTGGAAGTCAGATTAGCTTTTCATTTTCAGCTCTTTTGTTCATGAAGGATCTCCTGTTCATTAGCAGATCTAAATGTATTATGTTTACTGATGACAAGTATTTGAATTTAGAACTGTTTGACAGTGTTAATTGTCATATATTATCATGAACATTTATAGTGTTAGGTAAAGTACCTGTAAGTAGCTCACGTATCAGTAATTAGTTGTCACATAAATTGACGTGGAAGAACAATGAATTTCATCATTCACTTTTGTCAAATATCAAATTGGCCAGACAGGATAACATTACAAAACACCCAGATTTAAACAAATGGTTGATTTAGTTGTTGGTTGTAAAATCTTTAATGAACAAATGTTAACAATTACCAGTTTATGTATTTTTTTTTTTTAAATTTTTTAATTATGATTATCAGATTTATCCCCTTGTTGCATAGATTATTGGGTAACTTATAACCCCAGTTGGTTGAAATACTCAGATGAATTTTTATTATCATTAGAAGCTAGGGAAAAAAGCAGCATGAGATAAATGCTTGATGCTTCATTTAGGATTATTTCAACAAATTGCTCATGTGTTTTTACAAAGCGTCTAAGAGACCATTCCCACAGATATTTAGATCGTTCTACCCCCTTTAGGAGTCTCACTAGATTGCTGTCAGCTTAGCCGGCTTAAATGTCTGTCCCGCCTACTAAAAGCTGTTAGGGGGTAATTAACTTTTGTGCACGCTCGGCTCCTGGAATCTAACAGCAATTTAGCGTGAACCCCTAGGGAGTTGGGTAGATCCAGATGGATCAATCTAAGTCTGTGGGAACCCAGTCTAAATCCATCAGGTGTGCTAACCACAGTTCAGAGCTCACAATCAAATACCTCTGTTAGAAATGGTTTCATTGCCATCCAGATGATATACATTCAAGATTATTCATCAGTTTGTTTTTTTTTTTCTTCTTCTTGATGAGTCTGAAAAAACTGTTTACACAAAAAGGACTTGTTCCTGACAGGAAAGTCATTTACGTAAAACAAAGCCATCATTTTATAGTACAAAACTTGCATTTTTGGTACAAATCCGCTAAATGATTGTCGATTACATGACACCATCTGCTCAAAGTCAGCCACCGTCTTTTCGGATTAGTTAGATAAGTTGACCACAATGTGAATGGAACATTGGATGAAGGACCTATTGGATTCTTCTATCCATCACTACCTGTACTTGTTTTTCCTTCATTAGTTCCACTCCTCCAACACTTAATCCTTTATTGCAGTAAAAAGAAACTCTCATTGTTTTGAAAGAAGCCATTTTATTTTAAAGTCGTTCTGTAGTTGGTTGGAACAAAAAACAGATAAAATAGAGTATTATGATCTGGAGAGCATATTAAATTATTATCATAAATGTTCATAATAGGAAGTCGGTGTCCAATTTTGATTGGTTCATGTGTTGCAATAGAACTTTATCAGTTTCAAACATGCATTAAAATCATAAGGGTTGAAGTGTCATTTTTAAGTACGTTGTGGTTTAAGTTCTCTTGTCCATAAATCACATCGCTTTATTTACTGTTTGTTTTGTGCAATATCATGTGATAGAGTTTCATTGTCTTATGTTGTCGCCTTTTTTTCTTTTTCTTTTTTATTTCAAATTAAAACTAAGTATTCAAGGTGTTTTTTTTTCCTTACAGGGCATTTCTCCAATGACCAGTCAGTTTCATGCCCAACCTCTAATTGTCAGTCTTCAGGGCTCCGTAACTCGAAAGCATCGCGAATTGCGAATAGCACTATCACCTTTCATTTCGAGGCTATTATATGGGGTGAGAAAATCCCGAGTTATGGAGTAGAGATGCTTGTGCTCGGTCGCAATTCGCGATGCTTTCAAGTTACGGAGCCCAGGTCTGCCTGACACGGTCCATTAAACTGTTCATAGTGAGATATTAAAAGAACCTGTTGTAAAGAGGCCGTAACATCAGAATAACGGCAGAAATCCTCATGTTGAACAGTTACAGAAATTTATATATCTCAGTAAAAGTATTTTGGCATTTTGTATTATTAATTTTATATATATATCAGTTATTATTTAAGGGTTGCTTTTAGTTACATTTTGTTCAGTCATAAAGAAGAGGGGACTTTGTAAGTAAAATTCCAACAGACCTTATGAGACGGTGACCCTTAAGAATCTGGGCCAAGATTTAAAAATGTGGCTAAAATTGTAAGACATAGTGTTAAACTAAAAGGCACAAAATATAATAGGAGGTTTATGTCAAACAATGAAAATGGAGTTTGGAAGTCACTGCAATTTTTATTATGAAGCATGTGTAAAATATTTGTTATAAATTACGTAAAGGAGGTAAGAATATGTAAGGAAGACCACAGTTGTCATTTTAATATAATTTTTTTTTTTCTTATTGTAAATGTATATTTGTAATCCATTGTATCAGAAATTATAATGAGTTTCTCAAAATTGTGTTATGTTATTACATCACAGAAGTCATTCCATTTCATTGCAGTCATTTTTTATCTTTAACTTATTATTATTATTATTATTTATTTTTTTTTTTTACTGTTCATCCAGTTCCAAACCTTGGATGTCTGCAGTGGCATTTTATTATAAAAAAAATTTTCAATATGGTAAATGCAGACATGAACATCATCATAGTAATATTTGTTGAAAAAGAAAAGATATATATATGAAATAGCCTAAGAGACCACATACCCAGACTCCTGTCCTCTTGTACAGAGTTGTGTGCCCTTTCCCTTGTTGTATTTTCAGGACATTTTTTAAAGCCCCACTTCCAACCATCTCTTCTGTACATTTATTAATTAAAGAGATAATAACTCTTTGTATGAGATCTATATTTCACAATAAAAACATTGTGAATAACTCATAGAAATATAATATATTCTGTTTCACGACAATAACAGCAGTTATAGCTATTATTCTGATATCTGAGTTTGACCTCCATTGATGGCTATACTGTGTTATAATCTCTTAAGAGATTTTAACAAAAGACCAAACTTTTTAGAAAAAAAACAGGGACTAACTTTGAATGTAAAAATGGATTCATTAACCATTGATAAGTATGGGAAAATTGTTGTTTACTCCAGGAAAATACATTTTATGGCCAAAACGAAGAGTTATCCCTTTAAAGTGCATCCAAAACAGACGACACATTACTATGTTGGGTAAGAATGAAATGACTGCTTTACAAAAGTCAAGTCATTAACTAAAGTACTTGGTTATATGTTAACTATAAAATATGAATAGGGGTAAAAAGTTGAAAAAAAACATCTTGATTAATTTTAAAGTGAAAAGTTACTGTTGATTGAAAGGAATGTAAAAAGTCCACAGGCAAGATGAGTTTCGGTTTTAAATGCCTCTCAAAGAGAATTTCTGTCAGTGTCCACAGATAAATCCTGTCAGCTTTTATTCTCAGTTGTACGCCCATTATTCCTGACACCCCTCTGACACCCCTCTCTCTCTCTCCCCCCCCCCCCCCCCCCCCCCCCCAACTCCTCAGATTATGCAAAGTTATAAAACTCAGAAGATCCCCACTGTGACCTGGTTTCTCACAATTATTTTCTCTCGGCTGACACATCACCAAACACCCAGTAATAAATGCTCACTCTGACTGCAGCATTGTGCAAATTCACGTGTTCTAAATTCTAAATTACACAAATATATAATAATGTATTTGCATTTCACTGCAACAAATTCCAATCTCACCTGTCTTTTGTTGGTAGATGTCACAGTAAAACAAATGTGTTATTACTTTTTCACACAAAACAGAAGACGTCTGTATGCATGCCACAACAGTGGATGCCAATCCCGGACTTGACCTATAATAGTAGATGTCTCAGTTACCCTAGTCAGGTCCTAGATTTATAACCTTTACTTTTTATGGAGACATTGTGTAAACTTCTTTCTTGGCTGCTCATGTACAAAAGCACAGCTAGGATTACAAACAAACATCCGTATATTACGATAAAATTGTCCCCGTCTAGACTTTTATCTATGAAAATATGTATCCTTGTGCCCCCCCCCCCCCCCCAAACAAAATGCGGGCACCTCCCCACCCCATCCGCCAAGGCTGTATGCACTGTATGTTCTCTGGCTACACAAACTACACCAATGGTAAAATTGTTCCCCGTCTTGAATTTTTCTATGAAAGCGTGTATCCTTGTATCCTTGTGCCCCTCCCCAAACAAAATGCAGGCACCTCCTTCCCCCCCCCCCCCCCCCCACCACCCCCCGTCTTCTAGCTACACAAGCAGCACCGACACCAATGTAGTCTCCATCATTTTACTATCTCCACGTAGTATTACCTAACTTTCAACAGGTATTTTAGTGTCCAACAATAATAAAAACTTCTCCCAAGAACCGCCTTCCATGTAACTCGGTTCCAATCCCATCCGAGTGACTAGGTCCACCAGAGGCTGACCAGGAAAGTCTAGAGGAACAATGAAGCCAACAATGAGATGGGCAACGTTCTGTTGTGACGCCATGGATATTGCTCGTAGGAGATGACTAGTTACGTGGCTTTCCATGTTGGAAACGTCATCTCTGTGCCCGTATAAATCTATATTGGTGTACAGACCGTGTGAGCAACGATATATCATGACTGCACTTAGGAAGCTAGGTCTACTGATGTTAACTTGATTTGTGTCATGATTTCTTTGAAACGATGCATAAAATTCACATTCTGTGGTTATCATGTCAGCATTGTTCGGATGGATGCTGTAAGGCACCCTGCCTAACACGGCAACATCGCCTGGAAACAGACCTTGAATTTGTTTTCCAGAAGCTAAAATATTGCGCAGGCCAGCTGTTGAAACCTTCGTCAACTTAGAGCTGGCTTCATCTTGGTTCATTTTTTGATTTCTTAAATCTTTTCCACCAACTAAACCAGGGCTTTGGAGCTGAAAACAAAAAAATTTGCTCCTCGACACTTCTGAGATACTGCCATGTAATTTTGGTACCTCATCCACGTTTATCTTTCTTGTTAGCCTAAATCGCTCTAAGTTGGGGTGCTTCCTTCGCTCCTGTCTACCCATGTATGCCATCAACTCAGTCATAATTCCCTGTCCCCTGCAGGTCGGCTTCATCCTCCCGCCTCGTAAAACAAACGTGCTTTCACAGTCCACAATATGAGAGAGAGCAAAGCCAACAACTTCACCCGAAATCTCCGCGACGTACCCAGTTATTAGCGGAGACGACATCAGTTGGTGGTAATAATGTGGAACGGAGTCCATGCCATCGTAGATGTTTTTGTTGATACTCACGACGGCGTCGAAGTCGTGGTGACT